TTTGGAACAGGCTGCCTTGGCTTTTTCTCCATCCCAGGCTGGGCCCTGTAGTTACAAACAAGCAAAAATCCACCCTATTTGTTCTTGGAGGAAACTGTAAAGTCACTACAAATTGGAGCACAGATGCTGCAGTTTGCAAGGTTAAGTGTGCTATTTAGTTATGGAGATCAGGAGCTCCTCTAGCCTGGCTGTGCCCTTGAAGCATTAGAGAAATGTTTTTCCTAAATGTGCATTTAGACCAAAGCTGTGGCTGTCCCAACATGTTGTCACTTTGAAGCTGAATAACCCAGAGGCCAGGAAATATGCGTACACTTACTATGATTGCCTTGCCAGATCCAGAAGCAGGGCCTCATCCATTCATTTAACTGGTCAACACTGAGCACCTCCTGTAGGCCCAGCTCTGGATTCCAGAGTGGACAAGCCTGATGCAGACTCCAAGGGATGGGATGCATATTCTTGCTGCAGGAATGGCTTGAGTCCTGGGTTGGAGGGAGGAAATGGCATTCTTTCTGAGGTTGTGGGTGAGGGTGATGAGAGATCTGGAGATCTGGGGGGGAGGGAAGTTGTGGAACAGTAACTGATGCCGGTGGGGACATTATCATACCCTCTCAGGGCTCTTTGAGTTGTCTCCCAAACCTTCACTAACATTCGTGGGGTTCCAGGTGTGCACTGGTGCAGGGCGAAGGGGTGAGACAGAGAAGGTAAGAGGTGAGCAGGAGCAGCAAAGTAGAGAGTGGACTCAGGCGGGAGGACAAGTGGGTATCCTGAGGCATCTCCCAAAACAGAATACCCAGCGGTGCTCTATAAGAGACAATGATTTTTTAAGGCACAACTATTTTTTAAATGCATGTCTGTGTTTGCAGAATGAATGAATGTGAGGAAAATCTTTAGGCTGTCAAACAAAAAGGGGGTGCTGGAAGCCTGAGTGTTAGGGAGCCCTGAGGCTTTGGGGAGACCTCAGGTCCTTTGCCCATATATTTCCATGACCGAGATCAGTTTTCTCAATAGTAGCACTGTTGACATTTTGGGCCAGATTATTTTGGGTTGAGGAGGGGCTGTCCTGTGCATCGTAGGATATTTGGCAGCAACCTTGGCCTCTACCCGCTCGATGCCAAAGCAACTCCCTTCCCCACTTGTGACAACCAGAAATGTCTCCTGGGGGACACAGTTGTCCAGGCCCAGAAATAAAGGTCTAGAGGCTTGAGTGTTGAAGGCTCCATGAGGAAGAAAGAGATAGGTTGTGAACACTGATGGTAGGGAGTTATAATTGAGACCGCTATAAAAACAAAACAAAACATAAAACAAGGCTCTCAAAGCTATACCTCTTGTGAAAGGACAGAGAAAGAAATTCACCAGTGGCAAAGAGAAATGATAAGAACATTTGTCTATTTCAGCTTGTGTTCTAGGTAGAAAGAAAAGCCTTTATGTTTATAACCACAGGCATGCCCACACAGAGGTTTAGGGGAAACATTAGTATGTTCAAGGAAACTCCAAGTAGTGAAATTAACTCCAAGTGTGTTGGTAGCCCCTGAGGCACCTGTCTAAAGCAAAGGCAAAAGCAAATTCTCTGGGAAGGACACCCTCTCCCTTAACTCCTGCCGAGCAGGTTTTGTATGGGTAGAACCCAGCCAAGCTTGAATCCGCAATACAAAATTACAAAGTACATGAGGAAAAAAACTGCTCATGAGTGAGTCAGTAAAACAACAAATGGCCAAATTAGACATTTAAGATTTAAGATACTGGAAAGGTCAGATCCAGAATATTAAAAAAAAAAAAAGAATGTTTTAACTATTTAGAGAAATAAAAATGTGGCCAGGAAAAGCAGGCAAATATGAAAGTGAACACAGATTCAGAAATGAAAATGATAATGTTGAAATGTAAAACCTAATGGACAGGTTAAATAGCAGATTAAATACAATTGAAGAGATAGTTAGTGAACTGGAAAATAGATTTGAAGAAATCATTAGCCATAACACAGCACAGAGAGAAAAATATGAACAAGAGGAAAAAAGACATGGGATATAGAATAAGGAATTTAACAAATGCCATCTAGGAATTCCAGAGGAGAAAATTGAGGGGATTCAGCAAGGTAACACTTAATAATGTTGATTAGGAATTTTCCAGAAACTGTAAAAAAGACAAATCCCGGGAAGGAAGCACGAAGAATGCAGGCAGAATAAGTAAAGAGAAACCCAGGCCTAGAAACACTGTGGCAAAACTGTAGAAATCCAAAGAGATCTTGAAAGAAGCTGGAGAGACAAAAAAAAAAAAAAAAAATCAGATTACAAATGACTCCAGGATAAAACTGTGAAACATGAGCACTTGTTCTTGGGAACCCCAGAAATTACCTAAGGAAAGGGTACCTCAGGAGAAATCCTGACTACTGCATGAGCAGGTTGAGCCACAGATTGTTACTGGTAAATTGTTAAAAGAAATATGATCTTCGTGTTCGCTCAAGCCAGGGGTGGTTTCTCAGCCCAGTGTGTTGTGTAGGGGTGGAGCGGACACACTCAGTACGCTCTGGACAGTCCACAGGCTGTGAGCGGTTACTTTTCCCATGGCAGGCAGCCAGCCAGCTTTGGAACACTTTCTGGACACCGCCAGGGGGTGGGCAGTGAACGCAAGGCAGTTTGAGAATTAGGGGGCCTGGAGTGGGCTCTGGGGGCAACAGAGATGGCCAGGGAACTATCTCTGGACTTCCCACCCAGTGTGTGGCCACTGCCTTCATCTGGAGGATGTGAGGGGCCACTTTTCCAGTCCACAAAGGCTTCCTGGAGGAGGCGATGGGCTGCAAGAAGCAGCTGAGAATGGTAGTTTGGCGGCAAACAGAGGCAGGTCTGGGTGTGTGCAGCCGGGAGGGAGATAGAGGCCTCCCAGGGGATTCCTGGGAACTGCCTCTATTTCTGGCTAAGTGCACCAGCTCCCACCCACTTCACACACACCTCATACACACACATCCCCTTTTCCATTCTTGCTATGAATTTCTCACCAAACAAGCTTCATTAATCGTCTAATAACCAGATTAATTAAGGACGCTGAAAGTAAACAGCAAGAAGGTAATTTGCTCCTGATTACTGCTGTAATTGCGGGAGGATGAATTCATTTGCATATGCAAAGAAGCCTCCACACACAGCAAGGACAATGGAGAGAATGGGGTATCTGACCCGCACCCCTGCATCCCTTCCTTTCACTTCCTGCCCCAGCAACCCCCCTCCTCACCTCTCTTCAACGCTGGTGGAGAGGCCGGTAGTGTTCCCCATCCGCAGCTGGCAATCGCTGCTCCCCAAGGCCCTCGACCCAGGCCTGCTCCTGCAGCTCCTTTCCCTCCCGGCAATGTGGGTCTCACAAAACAGGGATGGGGAATTCTAGCCCGCCTGGGCCCCTCCAGAATGATACCGGCAACACACCTCCCCGGGTGCATCGATTTTCTTAACTGTGAAATGGGTTTGCAATCTGCTCTCTGTAGCCCTTAGGAGGACTCAAGTAAGGAAGAGCTAGAGAGGGAGCCTTTTATATATTCTAAAGCGCTGGGCCAAGGCTTGCTGGGGCCTTATTTTTCGCCTAAGCCTGGGATCTGCTGAAGGTGACTTTTCAAGGGCCCCTCAGAATCCTGCCTCATCCAGGAAGCCTTCCGGGATTGTGCACTTCATGAGAAGTGGCTTCCCTCTGGGGACCGCAATTTGCTCTTTTCTGGGAAAGAGCTGCCCCTTGTCTCCCGCTAGAACCCCTTACCCTGGGGGTTGGGGAGGGGTAACAGCCGCAGGCTACCTCCTCCCTATCCCCCTCGCCAAGACTTAAGCTCCGGCTTGAGGGGTGGGTACCTCGTTCTGGGGCGCCCCCTGCCCCCCAGGGCCTCAGACGCCAAATTGTTTTCTGACGGCGGCCTGCGTCTCTCCTGAACTCAATTTGCGTTTTCAAAGCAGCTAATAGACGCATTAAAAAATCCATTTTCACTCGGGATTGAATCTGACTGAAGTGAGATCAATGCGCAGAGGCCGCTCTCCTCCCCCACCTTCTCCCCTCTTTCCCACCCTGCTCGCGTCGCCATGGCGACCGCGGAAGGCACCGCGCCCAACTAGACTCCCGCGGATCTGCGGGGCGGGGGGGCCCTCTGCTCCCCAACACCCTTCCAGCGCCTCCCCGCACGCCCCGTCCCGGCAGTCTCGGTCAGCTTGGCTACTTGGGTCTGAATCCTGTCTCCACCATTCAGTACTTGGGCAGGTTAGTTAACATTTCTGTGCCTTGGTTATCTCATCTGTAAATTGGGGCTAGTAATTGCGCTGACCACAGAGCGCGGTCCTGGGGATTAAATGATTCAAGTGCACACGGGCGGCACGCAAGAAGTGGCACACAGGGTGTCCTCAAGAAGTGTCAGCTCTGTCTCAAGCCTCCTGCCGCAGGCTTTATGGAGGGGGAGGCCTCCCAGGCCTGTCTGTCCTTTTCACTCTGAGAGCAGCACCAGCCCAGGAGCGCCTGGGCCCTCCAGATCTCCCCGGCCAGGAGCAGGGGCACGGCACACCTCGCTCCTGTTTTCCTTCTGTGTGCCAGCCTTTGTGAAACAGGACACCTGTGTGGGCAGGGAGGTCACCTCTCATCACCATTCCCTGAGCACTCTCTGGCCTCTCTGCCTGCCATCCTCCGGCCCCGGTGCCCCTTGGTTTTGCCCTCAAGCCCTCCAGCTGCCTCTGAAACCTCTTGCCTCTGCTCTGGTCTCCAGGGAGTTGCTTAGTGGACACAGGGTGGGGTGGGGAATAATTGGCCTGGCCTGGCTGTTGGATGAAGCAGACTCTGGAGCCGAAAGGACCCGGGGGCCCAGGCTACACCCCTCCTGGCAGCGGCTCTTCATTAGCGTGCACCTTTGGTTTTGTGTGGCTCGGCCCAGCAACACAACAGTGCAGTATCCCTCTGCGGAAAATATGGGCTTTGGAGTCACAGGAAGCTGTGGAGTTCTCAGGGTCTCGCCAAGCTGGTCAGAGCTCCCAGGCTCTCTCAACAGGAAGGTCAGCCTCTTACACACACACACACACACACACACGGCATAAGACCACCCGCTCTCACCAAAAGGGGGGAGCCCCTCCCCCCATTATCTCCTTTCTTGGCCTCCTCCCCACCTCTGGTGCCCAACATGGGGCCAGGCTGGTTGGAGGCACAGAGAAAATCTGTCTCCACTGAATTGCACTGGTGTCTTTGTCCTGAATCAATTGACCATGTATGGGTGGGTCTATTTTTGGTTTTCTCTGTTCTCTTCTGTTGGTCTGTTTGCTTACCCTTAAACCATGTCTTAATTAATGTAGCTGTATAGAAAGTTTTAAAATCAAGTAGTTTAAGTCATCCGTCTTTGTTGTTCTTCATAATCTGTATGCATGCTCCTGCTCAGTCTTGTCCGGCTCTTTGCGACCCCATGAACTATAGCCCTCCAGGCTCCTCTGTCCATGGAATTTTTCAGGCAGGAATACTGGAGTAGGTTGCCATTTCCTTTTCTAGGGAATCTTCCCGATCCAGGGATTGAACCCATGTCTCTTGGGTCTCCTATATTGGCAAGTGGATTCTTTTACCACTGTGCCACCTGGGAATCCATCTTGACTATTTTGGGTCTTTTGCATTTTCATATACATTTTAGAACAGGCTTGTCAATTTCCACAAAAAAACTTGCTGGAACTTTGACTGGGACTGTGCTGAATCTACAGATCATTTTGGGGAGAATTGACACTATCAATATTGAGTCATCTAGTCCAGGAACACGGTGTAGCTCTCCATTTACAAATGTCTTCCTTAATTTCTCTCGGCATCCTGCTTTCTGTTTTAAACCCCACTGCATTCTGGCACTTGGTGAAAATTAACTTCCATCCCTGTGACTGCTGTTGCTTGAAGGGAGTTTGTTGTCTTGATGCAGCTCTTCAGAGAGAAACCCAGGGACTGATGAGGTCCTGGGAGAGGGAGAGGGGCAAGTAGAGAGATCTAAGGAGGGAAGGGGGCACCCGGGACCCCAGCCTCAGTCCTGACCTCTGGACACCTCTCTGCCCTGTGGGAAGTCTCCAAGCTCAGCAATTTCCCGAGCACTTCATGTCAGTTTTCCTATCTGTGAAATGGGAGTGTTGTCTCAGTGTGAGACAACAGATGTGAGGAGTGAAGATTATGTATTGCAGGGCACTTATTAGGTGCTTGAGAAATCATATTGGTGTTTGTTTTTGCCCGCAAGGGAAGACGGACGCCACCAACCTGGACACAGAACCAGAAAGGACCAGGCTCATGACCGCCTCCTTCCAGTGGTGCTCTTTTTCCCCTTTTAAGGACAAACTGAGAGTGTGCATTAGTAATCAGAGAGATAGAAAAAGAAAGATGATACGTGTGCAGAAAGTTTGACTAGACAGTGGAGGATGCCTGGTTCAAGTAGCTTGCAGACTTTTTGTTTACTTGGCTGAGTATTAGCTGTGGTATGTGGGATCTTTGATCCTTCAGTGGGGGGCTTAGGGCTTCTGTTGAACCCAGGTAGTGTGGCTTCTTAGCCACTGGACCACCAGGGAAGTCCTGATGCTAACTTTCTACTCCTCTTGTTAACACTAGACTGTTTATTCTTTCAATTCACTGGCATTCCTTCCTTCCATCCATCCATCCATCCATCCAGTCTCTGGTATGCATGGTGAAGGAGTCCTTGGGCCTAGAAAAGGAAACAGTGGTCTCAAAGGCCCTTGCTGAGTCATCTAACTTCGGGGAAAACAAAACCAAACCAAAAAAAGTCCCGCCCTGATGCTCCCAGCTGGTTGCATCTACGTGGGATTTATCACCCTCTGCCCAGAAACCTCCCACCCCCTACATCCGCCCAGGACTTATCAGCCCCTGCCCAAAGCCTCCCACCCCCTGTTCAACTACGAATGCCATCTCAACTAAAGATTACCCAAAACGTCCCGCCTGACTAACGTTTCCCTTATCGCTTCCACAAACCTCCCTTTAAATATGAAGCCTCCCTGATCCCTCTTGCGCTCAGCCTGGTCATAAGGCAGACGGTTGCCCCTCCTTGCATGAATAAAGGTAACCTACCTCCGCTGAGGTCGTCTCTTCTTTTCTGCCTCGGCCCAGAACTATACCTTACACTCTTGGTGCCGAAACCCGAGAGAGGGTGAGGCACTCGTCTCTCCTTCTCTTTCACTCCCTCTCCCTCCCTCTCATTGTTTTCCCTTTTCCTGGAGTCTGGGAGCTCGAACATCCGCGGAGCTCACTTTTCTGCCAGGGCTCCTAAGTTCCCCTCGGGACGCCTAGTGCCTTCGTGAAAGGTGCAAGCCTTGTACTAAGCCTTTATTGGTGCTTGGCGTACCCCCAGGCCTCAGCTCTACCCCCTTTCCCTCTCTCTCTCTCCCCGACAACCTCTGGACCAGGGAACTCTTGCCATTCCACCGCTCTACATGCAACCCTCCACTAAAGCCAGGCCCCTAGATTAAGGTAAGATCTGGACGGTGTTCTAGAGGCGCCCTAGAACCCAGTCCTCTCCGGGTCCCAGGAAGCCCCGGCCTAAGGCCACTCTGTAGGCGACGGTGGGGGACGCTCCACCTCGACACAGAGCTCCCTTCTCATAACTCCTATCGCGACTACGGGTGACAACTTGAACTCCAATAGGAGTTTGCCTTTCCATTATGGGGTCTGGCCAATCTGTCCCAAAAGATTCCCCTCTGGCCTGTGTTCTCAAAAATCTCAAACCGCTCTCACTCACTGAACTCAAAGCTAACCGCTTAAAACAACTCTGTATACAGATCTGGCCTCAATACCAATTGGACAGTCAAGACTGCTGGCCTGAATTCGGCACATTTGACTTTAACACTCTTCAAAATCTCACCAACTTCCTTGCACGGAATGGCAAGTGGTCGGAGGTCCCATATGCCCAAGCCTTTTGGGCCCTTCGGAGCAGGCCCTCCCTATGCCAGGCCTGCTCCACCCCCGAGGTCCTTCTCTGCACCTTGCCTCCCAAGCAAAAGGGCTCTTCTTCCTCAACTAACCACCGTTGGCGACCTTCTGCACCCCTGGAGTTCAACTCGGCGGACGAGCTCCCTCCCTACCCGCCACCCCGCCAACCCTCTCCTTCCCCCTCATCCAACTCACCTACTGATTCAGCAACCTCTCCTGACTCTCCCTCAACCCCGATACCCCCTTCCTCCAATCCCCCCTCTCCCCTTCTCTCCCCCACTGCCACATGATCACATCCCCAACACATGTTTCCCCTGAGAGAGGTGGCCGGACCAGAGGGCCCCACCTGAGTCCATGTGCCATTTTCATTGTCGGCCATGAGCCAGACAGAAAAAAACTTAGAATCATTTTCTGAAAATCCTGTCAGATACAGAAGAGAATTCCTGATACTCTCCCAGGCTNACTTAGGATCATTTTCTGAAAATCCTGTCAGATACAGAAGAGAATTCCTGATACTCTCCCAGGCTTATAACCTCACATGGAATGACGTGTATTATATCCTAAATGCCACTCTCACCCCAGATGAAAAAGGCCGTTATCTGGCAAGCGGCAAAAGCCCATGCCGATCACCTACATACCCAAGACCGGGACAGCCCACTTGCTGATGAGGTGGTGCCTCAGTTAGATCCCCACTGGACGTACCAGCCCGGTGACCCAGGTATCAGAAGACTCAATCATATGATTCCCTGCCTTCTAGAAGGAATGCAGAAAAATACTCATATCCATGTCAATTATGATAAAGTCACCCAAGGGGCAGACGAAAATCCAGCCTTATTCTCGGCACGCCTCACAGAGGCAGTCTGGAAGTATACCAACCTAGATATCACCACCCCTGCTGGGTTACTCTACTTCCGTGTTCAATTCATCAGCCAGTCCACCCCTGACATTAGACACAAGCTTCGACAACTAGAGAAGGGCCCTGAGACCCCCCAAAAAGACCTTCTAGAAGTAGCCTTGAAGGTGTTCAATAATAGAGAAGAGGAGGCTAAGAGAGAAAAAGACTGTGAAAGAAAAGCTAAATATGCCTTTTTGGTGGCAGCAATTAAGGGAAGAAATCAGCCTGGCCCAAGTCATCCCAGACCAGGGCTTAAGACCACCGCCCCCCCCGACCCTGCTTCCGATGCAACCAGTCAGGACTCTGGCCAAAGGCATGCCCAAACCCGCGGCCCCCCACAAAAGTGTGCCCAACCTGTGGTCAGTGGGGACGCTGGAAGATGGACTGTCCCCACCTCCCAGGCCTGGAGAGTGGAATGTCCACAGGGATGCCCTGGCACCCCTGGGGAGATCCCCACTTCTCCCCAGAACCCCAGCCCAACCCTATGAGAGTTGCTCCAATGACGGGGCCTGGGTTCCAGCCCCACGGCCTGTGTCCTGGACATGAGCTCGGAACTTCGGTAGATGGGGTAGTTGGAGAGGGAAAAGACCTCCTTTATAGTAGACGCTGGAGCCGCTTTCTCTCTCTTAACTTCCTACTCTGGCCCAACTCAAGACTCAGAACTCAAAATCAAGGGGGTCTCTGGAGTTCCCTTAAGGCCAAAAATCAGCCCTCCATTACTCTGTCAATTTGGAAAATTGACCCTTATACACTCATTCCTCATAATGCCTCAGTGCCCGATGGCACTCCTAGGGAGAGATTTGTTACCCAAATTGGGGGTCTTTATTACCATACCCCCCCTCGATACAGTCTCTGTATTCTGCATGCAGATGGCACCTGGACCGCCCTGTCCCTCACCCCTGACCTTCCCTTGGATCTACCCACCTCAGACCCCCAAGTCTGGGACACTGATCACCCATCCATAGCCAATCATCCCCAGTCCACATTACCCTAAAAGACCCCTCAACTATAATCACCCAACAACAGTACTCTCTCACCCCAGAGGCCCACAAGGGACTCAAGCCTATCATAGACCATCTTCTTCAAGCCTCCATCTTAATTCCTACCCATTCACCACACAAGACCCCTATTCTGGCAGTAAGGAAGGGCCCAAACTCTTGGAGATTGGTCCAGGATCTTTGAAAAATCAATGAGGCCATCACGCCAGCATTCCCAGTAGTCCCTAACCCTTACACCCTTCTGTCTACCATACCCCTGACTGCAACCCACTTCATGGTATTAGATCTCAAAGACCCCCTTTTCACCATTCCCCTCCACCCCCTTTCCCAACCCCTTTTCGCCTTCACCTGGCAAGACCCTGAGACTCAACGTTTCCCAACAACTAACATGGACAGTTCTCCCCCAGGGGTTCAGAGACAGGCCCCACTTTTTTGGACAGGCTTTACAAAAGGACCTACAGACACTTGACCTAGCCCTGAGTCATCTCCTCCAATATGTAGATGACCTCCTCCTTTGTAGCCCAACCTGAAAACTCTGCCTCCAACATACTGCCAAACTCCCTGGGGTGCTGGGATCCTGGGGTTATAGGGTGTCCTGATCCAAGGTCCAATAGTACAGACAGATGTCACCTACCTGGGGCACTTCATATCCAACCAACAGAGAACTATTCCCCCAGATAGAATCCAGGCCTTATAATTGTCCACTTCCAAAAACAAAAAGGGAACTCCTGTCTATCCTCGGCCTCCTAAATTTTTTCCATATCTGGATCCCTAACATCTGCCTCATTGCAAAGCTGCTCTGTGAGGCAACTAAAGGATGTCTGGATGAGCCCCTCTTTAACCCCTCCTCACTGGCCAATCCTTTCACCAGCTCACCCAGAGCCTTCTCTGAGTGCCAACTCTCCACCTGCCAGATCACACCAGACCATTCTTTCTCCTTGCACATTCCAACCAAGGACAGGCCCTGGGACTTCTATGTCAGCGGGCCGGAGACACCTGGGCTCTCAGAGCCTATCTATCAAAACAGCTGGACATGGTGACCAAGGGGTGGCCTCCCTGCATACAGGCCATGGCTGCTATCGCAGCCCTTGTACCGAAGCAAATAAACTCTCTAGGCATGCCCCTTTAAGAGTCTGTCCTCCATACACCTTCTGAGACTTACTACCACATCAGGCTTTCCTCTCCCTTCCCCCGTCCAGGGTACAGGTCCTACATGCCTTTCTTCTTGACCCTCAGCTTTCATTCTCCCCCTGCTCTCCCCTTAATCCCGCCAGCTTATTACCCATGTCCTCTACAACAGACCCCTCCTGCATAGCTGCAGCCTAACAGTAGATCTTACCCAAAACCCCTTCCAACATTTAATAGATCAACCCATCCTAGACCCAGACACCCCACACTGGTTTATTGATGGCAGTTCTCAAAAATCCCCACCCTTCGCAGCAGGATATGCCATCATCCAGGGCGGTCTTCATCACAGTCACGGGACCCAGACAATTGAAACCTCACCTCTGCCACCTCACACCACCTCCCAACAGGCAGAACTGATAGCTCTCACCAGACCTTTGACTCTGGCTAAAAATTTAAGGGTTAACATCCACACAGACTCCAAATATGCCTATAACATACTTCAGTCAAACATCCTAATATGGAGAGAGAAAGAGGTTTCCTAACCCTAAGGGGATCCCCCATCATTAATTCAGACCTGATCCACAAACTTCTAGAGGCAGCACTCTTACCAAACAAAGCCGACGTCCTCCACGGTAGGGGACATCGAAAGGGAAGTCTCATATCAGCCTACAACAATGCTGCCGACCAGAAGGCAAAGGAGACAGCCCCGTCCCATCCTTCCCTCCAGTCCCGTCATCTTCGCTCTGACTCCACCCGACCCTCCCACTGCCAGAGAAATCCTCTCTTATCTACACTCACTTTTTCATCCCTCATCCAAGACACTCCAACAGTTCCTCTGTAACCACTTCCCCATATCCAATGCTGACCAACAATATTTAGATAACCTTACCCGCTCCTGTCAAACATGTCAACGTACTAACCCCAATTCCAACCTTAAACCGACATCCTTTCCAGCCCATCAAATGCAAGGCAGCCTCCCAGCACAGGATTGGCAGATAGACTTTACTCATATGCCCCTGGTCTGGAGAGTCAGATACTTCCTGGTCCTTGTGGACACCTTTTCGGGATGGGTAGAAGCATTTCCCAGGACAAACAAAAGAGCCCACACCGTGGCCCAAATCCTCCTCACAGAAATTAGCCCTAGGTTTGGCCTACCTTCATCCCTACAGTCTGATAATGGCCTGGAATTTATGCCCAAGGTCACCCAACAACTTGTCCAATTCTTACAGATACCCTGGAAATTTTACATTCCATATCGTCCCCAGTCCTCAGGAAAGGTAGAAAGGATGAATAGAATAATCAAAGAAACTCCTACCAAACTAACCCTCGAGGTGCATTTGGATTGAACTAAATAAACTTTTGCCGACTGTTCTCCTCAAAGTGTGGGCTTTGCCCAGAAAGCCCCTGGGGCTGAGCCCCTTTGGGGTGATGTGTGGAAGGCCCATGCTCCCTCCTGGACTCCCCCCGAACCTCCTCCCATACCAAGCTTCCTACACTCCCCTCCGCTGGCGGAACTCCACGATGCCCTCTGGGAATACTCAACCACAACTTGCCCGCCCCTGACCCCCAAACCTCCCTGCCCCCTTTACAAGCTGGGAACATGGTCTATCTGTCCCATAGTCCCCAGGGTGACCTAACCCCAAAGTGGCAGGGACCATTCAAAATCATCCTCCTTACCCCGACTGCAGCCGAGAAGGTCACCTCCTGGGTACACCCCTCTCGCCTAAAACGGGTCACCTCCGATCCTGCGCTGCCCTGCTTAACTGACCCCTATCAGGTCTCCCTCACAGGGCCCACCTCCTTAAAATCACCCGGTGACAACCCCTGTCGACCATCCAAGAAGACACTGAATAACCTGGACTCTCTTCAACCTACAACTGTTCCCGACCCAACTACCACCAGACCTCTGCACCAGCGCCCCGATAGGAACCTCCTTCGAAGAGCTGACCACGCTGGTGTCTCAACTGTGGCTTCGGGGAACCTTCTACAACCTGACTCCAGATGAAATTGATTTCTTTACTCTCATTCTCTACATCAGTCTACATCCTTATAAACAGTCTTCCTTTTCGGATTCAAGCTACCACAAAACTCGGGGCCTTCCGCCCCTCGCCCTGACTGGCCTCTCCCCGTCTAACTATAACCTCACTCTTAATCTTAGTCCTTGCCATAGGCCTAGTAACTGTCTCCCCTCAGGACTGGCCACCTATCCTTCATCTCCTCGTCGGTATCCCCTATGTTGTTAGCTGGGTCCTACTCCTAGGGCTCTATTTCCTCCGCACTGCCTAACTGACAGACCCATGACTCAGACATTTATTCCTATGTTCATTCCTCACGTTATTATACGGCTCCAAGACCGTGCACCATGAACCTCGGGGGCAGGGGGGCGGGGATGTCCAAACCCCTACTCACTGTTAAAGTACAGAAGAGAGGGAGTTTCCTGAGTGCCTGCCATGAACCAAATGGAAGAAGCATATGTTTCTATCCCATTACCCACTGGGGGTACTCAGACGGGGGCAGGGTACCAGATCAAAATCAGGAAAAGAAAAAAGAATAAGTCATAAAGAACATAATTTCCCGGTTACAGGCGGCCCTTGAGCCTTATAAACGCCTAGACCTCCTTTCCCAATAACGGCCTGTCCTAAAACCTCCCTCTGGCAACCAAGACCTTACCCGCCTTCTCAACTCTTCCTTCCAATTCTTGCAGTACGCACAGCACACACCCCAGGGTTGGATATGCTTGTCACTCTCTGCCTCACCACACACAGCAATTCCCTCACCCTCAACCTGGCTGTCCCAGGGCAACTGCACCTCCCCTCCCCAACAAAAACTACACAACTCACTGGGCCAGTCTCTGACAATGTCCTTCTCTCAGCCTCTTCAAACCTAACCTGTGTCAACTACTCTAGTCCCCAGCTACACTGGTCTTGCAAACTCAACTCCTTCCTTCTGCTCCACTTGGGTTCTCTGGAGCAGCATAAATAATTGCACCAGCCTGGGAATCTTCATTCTCTGCGGGACCTATGCATATTCATGTCTCCCCCTTGACCCCCCTGGACCTTGCATCTTGGTCTTTCTGACCCAGGGTCTAACATTCCTCAAAGAAGAAGAGATAGAACAAACAGTCTACCCACAAGGGGAACTTTCCCACAGGAAAAAAACAAGCTGTCATAGCCCCTCTCCTGATTGGGACCAGCATAGCAGCAGCCCCGGGCACCAGGATTGGGGGCATCTCGACCTCAGCCCGTTTCTACTACAAGCTGTCCCAAGAACTCAGTGAGGACATGGAGCGGGTAGCGGAGTCCTTCGATTCGGTCCAGACAAATTAACATTAGCCTCTGTGGCCCTACAAAATAGGCGCACCCTGGACCTTCTCACCGCGGAAAAGGGAGGGACCTGCCTTTTCTAGGAGAGAAATGCTGCTACTTTGTTCATGAAACGGGCATTAACAGGGAAAGTCAAAGAACCTAGAGACAGAATCAAATGCCGCAGAAAAGAGTTACAGAAGCTTTACCCTCCCCCAAACCTGTTCCAACTGGCCCTCCATTGGTTGCTGTCTCTCTTGGGACCACTGGTACTTATCATTCTATTCCTCTTATTTGGCCCCTGTCTCTTCAATCTCTTTCAAAGGTTTCTCCAAGAATGGATTCGGGCCTTCTCTCGAGACCAAGTCAAGACTATTCTTCTTCTTGAGAGCCTCACCCTGACCTCGGGAAAAGGAGACCCTGGGCCCTAGGATGATCCTCCGTTCCAGACCCAGAACCGTCGCCCCTATCCAGCAGGAAGTAGCCAGAGAGATACGGCGCCCTTTTCCCCATTTTTTATGATTTCAGGGTCTGGAACGAAGGCATCCTTGGGCCTAGAAAAGAAAACAACGGTCTCAAAGGCCCTTGCTGAGTCATCTAACTTCAGGGAAAACAAAACCAAACTTTAAGTCCCGCCTTAATGCTCTGGGCTGGTTGCATCTACCTGGGACTTATCACCCTCTGCCCAGAAACCTCCCACCCTCTGTTCAACTACAAATGCCATCTCACTGAAGATTACCCCAAACGTCCTGCCTGCCTAACGTTTCCCTTATCGCTTCCACAAACCTCCCTTTAAATATGAAGCCTCCCTGATCCCTCGCGCTCAGCCTGGTTGTTAGACTGACTGTCGCCCCTCCTTGCCTGAATAAAGGTAACCTACCTGCATTGAGGTGGTCTTTCCTTCTTTTCCTCTTTGGCCCGAACTGTACCTTACACACGGTCCCTCTAACCTTGAGCTTCCTTGGGCGTTGAGGGGCGGATGCCTACCGGCTGAGCCCTGGGCTCTGCCCATTCAACTCAGCTTGTCTGCCGAGGCCGAGGCCAGGAGGGGCCTGGTGCTCCCAAACCAGGGTGTGCGGGCTGCTCCCAGGCTGGTGTCCACTCCCACCTGAGCAGGCCTCCGGGGTTTGGCCTTAAATGCTAAAAGGAACTAATTAAACCGATGGCAACTCTTGCTTTGTTTCTTAATCACTGACTTTGTGCTGACAGAAGCAGTTTATTCCAGATTATTTTTAAAGGGGGCAAACCCTTTTCCTTCCGAACATTTTAAATACAATCACATGAAAGAGAGTGATTCTAAAATACACTTCACTAAGCACTTCCCTTTTTACTTAAAAAACACTTTTATAGCACTTGTTATGGGCTAAGAACCTTACAGATATGATCTCATTTAGACCTCACACTCACCCTGTTGTTATCACCCCCATTTTTTAGTGAGAGGCGCCCATAGGGTAATCAACCTGCTGGTGGGCAGCTAGTGGGGGACAGAGCCAGGATTCAAGCCCAGGCCACCTGGCTCCACAGCCTTGGGGTTCAACCCTAGCACCAGTGGCCTCCTTGGAAACATCACCCTTGGGCAGCTGGCCTCAGAGTGGAGCCCTTGGGCGCTTCCCACCCTGTGACTCTCTGCTGGCCCTTTAGTCACACGCTCCAGGCACTCCGCAGGAAGAGACCTTGCCCCAGTCTAGTTTCTGGCCCACCAGATCCAAGCTGGGGAGCCGCAAAACAGGCAGTCAGGCATTATGGCATTGGGCTTTGAGTAAAAAAGTCAGGGGACTTGGCAGGCAAAGAAGGCAATGCTCTGGATTCCTAGCACAGAGCCGTTTATGTGCCTACCTATTAATTAGGGCTGGCAGGTGGGGCTGGTGGAGGGTCCAGGGCTGTGGGGTGGGGGGGCAGTCACTTGGAGGAGGACCCAGGGCAGCCTGCTTGATTCACTTCCTTTGAACCTAGTTCAGCATTGTCCTTCTCCCGAGCTGCTGGAGAGGGTGAGAAAGAGTGAGAAAGCCAGGGGGACTCAGGATTCAGGATGCACGCCGGGTGCTAACCAGACTCCCACCTCACGGCCTTTGCACTTGCTGCCCCTTCTGCCGGGACCACCCTGGCCCCAGACACCCACGTGGCTTAGCCTTTCACTCCCTTCTAGTCTCTGCTTAAAGGTCATGTCCTCAGAGAGGAGCTGCCCTAGCCACCCCATTTAAAACAAGACACGTGCCCACGCTCTAGCCTCTGGTGTTGCTCTTTCTTCATAAATGCTATGAAAACATTGTATGCTTCGGTTGCTTATTTGTTAATTGTCTGTCTCGTTCCCTCTAGACTGGAAGCACCACGAGGGCAGGGACTCTCAGCCCTTCTTCGTTACTGTATCCTCGGTGCCTTGAACACGTCTGACGTAGTGTGTGCTCAGTGAATACTCGAGGCGCGGCTGTGCCGCCCCATGTCTGGGCCCACATACCCGCGCCCGTGTGAAGGGGAGCTGGTAGCTGTTCTCCTATCTGACGGGGGAGTGTGCGTAGTTGTCAGGACAGGCTGGGTTATGCTGCAGTAACAAACAAGCCCAGAACCTCAGTGCTGAGCCCTGATTTTCTTGGGTCTTGCCTCTATCTCATCTTTCATGATATTTCAGGTGTCTCTCATCTCTCTTCATTATAAGGAAATGCTGAGAGAGGCTAATGGGGTAGTGACATGCCACTGGTATCTTCAGTGGGTCCCATCAGATCTAATCTCCTCCCTCCACAAAGTGCACCGTCTTCTGAGAACCTTCCTGCCACCTCCAGGCCTTATGGAGCCCAGCTGGTTCCTTCCCAGTAACTCTCTTTGTAGGTTGTGAGATCTTGAATTTGCCCCTGATCATCTCATCCTCCCAAATCTGACTTCTAGAAACTGAATCCAACCGTGTGTTCTACTTGAGTCTTTACACCTGGGCTTCTGACAGCTGTGTTCTCTTTCAGAGGAAGCACAGACATTTTCACCGACAGGTGCAAATGCATGTTGATGCTGAATACTTACCAGTGAACTTAGGGCCTGATTGGAAAGACAGGCAAAAAGCAGCAGGAAGGCCACTTCCTCAACGCCCCCCCCACACGCACGAGTTGCTGCACGCAGAGATAGGTTGGGGTGGGGCAGAGTGAGAGTACAGAGAAGATGCTTCTCACTCTGGGGTAGGGGTTCAGGTAGGGCTTCCTGGAGGAGGTGGTACCTGGGCTGAAGATCAGAGGTTGCAGCTGTGAGCCTGGTGAAGGGCAGGAAGCTGCAGGAGGAGGAGAGGAGGGAGGGAGAGGCAGAGAGACTTGGGCTTGGAGCTGTGGCCCTGGCGACCCGAGGATTGAGCGAGGCTTCTCTGCAAACCTGCTGGGGGAAAATCAATACCTAGTCAGGTTCCCCAGACTCCGCATCTGAGCACCATGTTCAGAAACTCCGGAACAAAGCAGGCTTCTCAAACCTCGCTGAGGGAGCAGGAGGCTGCCAAGACCCCCGCGGGGGGGAATTAGCAGTGCCTTTCAAAATAAAAAATGGCTTTCCCTCCAATCTCGCATTGCCACATTTCCCTGCGGGGCCGGGGTGGCTCTGTCCTCTTCAGCCTCGGATGGGGTGGACGCCCTCCGCACTAACTGTCCTCGCTTGCCTGCCTGCCCGCCTGGTGTCAAGGCCCCGGCCTCCCTCCCTCTGTGGCCCCCAGTCCGTCTGCTTCTTCCCTCCCAGCCACCGCCCTGTTTCCTGACGGCGCCTCTCTCTCCCACCCCCAGCCTTGACCCAGACCGTCCATTCCCCACCTTTCAGAGCCCTGCTCCCCATTCAAGCCCCGGCCCCCAGCCACTCCCTCCCTGCAGCCTCTGGAACGGTCACCAGGCAGGCCGACTAGGAAGGGTGGCAAGGAAGCACACGGGCTAAGAACCTAGAAGAGGGAGCTTCCCTGGTGCTCCAGTGGCTAAGACTCCACACTCGCAGTGCAGGGCGTCCGGGTTCGATCCCTGATCAGGGAACTATTTATTAATAGATTGCACATGCGGCAACTAAGACCCAGTGCAGTCAAATAAATAAAGAACCTGAAAGAAAGGTCTGGACTAAGAGGACCAACGGGCCAAGGAGAGTACAGAGGGATACCTCCCAGCCCCGTCTATCCTCATGTTTGGGGAGCGGCGGAGGGGGTGAAGGAGAGGGGCTGGAGTTACTGGGAAGGAACCGGCTGGGCTCCTTAAGGCCGGGAGGTGGCAGGAAGGTTCTAAAAAAAATGGAGCACTTTGTGGAGACGGGACTCACTGAGCAGGTGGGGTGTGGATCAGAGCAGCAGGGAAGCTAGGGGGATGTTTAAGTGATGAGGGGAGGTCCCTAGCGCGGACTTCCTTTGATTGCCTGGGCCAGCTCCAGGAGGCAGTGGCCCCCAGGAGTGGGGATTTTTGATCAAGGGATTTCTCCCAATCAAAGAGCAGGCAGCACAGGGAGCAGGTTAGCACCGTGTATGCGGCTTGTTTACACTCAGATTCCTGTCGGGCTTCCCAGGTGGTTCAGTGGTAAAGAACCCACCTGCCAATGCAGGAGACGTAGGAGACTTGGGTTTGATCCCTGGGTGGGGAAGATTCCCTGGAGGAGGGCATGGCAACCCACTCCAGTATTCTTGCCTGGAGAATCCCATGGAAAGAGGAGCCTGGCAGGCTGTGGTCCTAGGGTCACACAGAGTCGGACACGACTGAGCGACTTAGCACGCAGGCATAGACTACTGCCAGTGGGCTACACAGAAGATGCTAGGAGGATTTGGGTGGCTAGAGGATGGGATGGAGACCAAGGAGACTTTTTTTGGGCCATGTTGCACAGCTTGGGTTGCAGGATCTTAGTTCCCCAACCAGGGATTGAACCCACGCCACCTACAGTGAAAACACGGAGTCCTAACTACTGGACCCCCAGAGAATTCCCCCAAGGAGCCTTCTTAACAAACAGTTTATTATAAAGCTTTTCAAGCATGAAAGAATTCAATGGAGAACGCCCATCTATCCACCACCTAAATTCTGCAGTTAACGTCTCCCTAGGTTGACTTTATCTCACATCTTTCTGCTCACCCAACCATCTTGTTTTTAGCTGCATTTCCGAGTTGCAAACTTCAGTATACTTCACCCCTTACAGTTGTGCTTGAGCGTCGTTAACAAGAGCTCAGCATTTGTTTACAGTTCTTTTTTGTGTTTGTTAGCAATGTTTAGAGATAATATTTACATAAAGCAAAACTCACAAATCTTAAATAGATCATTCCTTGAGCTCTGAAAAATGTATGCACCTGTGTAATCCAGTCTCTGTCAAGATAAAGAACATTACATCACCCTGGAAAGTTCCCTTGTGTCTGCCCCAGAGAATCTCCTCCAGAGACTCTTGACCGTACATCTTGTGTATGACTGATGTTCACCGTTCTGTTTTTCCCTGGAGCACGTGGCTGCCCAGGAGAAGGCTACATTCCCCAATCTTCCTTGTATATTGGTGTGGTTATGTGATGAAGTTCTGGTCTATGGAGTGTGAATAGGAACATCATGAGGGAGCTTCTAAAAACCTTCCTTAAGGGACTTCCCTGGTGGTCCGTTGGTTAAGACTCCACCTTCCAATGCAAGGGACTCTGGTTCCATCCCTGGTCAGGGAAGTGAGGTCCCACATGCCTTAAAATTAAAACAAAACACCTTCCTCAAAAGACAGCTGGCGTGTCCTTGGCCCCTTGCTCGGTCTTCTCCACCTCCTTCCTGTTGCCTGGGACAGAGATATCACGGCCACCATGTGGACCATGGCGGAGGGGACACACCCAGCGTGGTGGAGCTGAGAGCTGGAAGGAGCCTGCGTCCCTGAACTCTCCTGGATCGCTTGCTTCCT